CTGGTGAAGGACAGGAGATTATCTCCTTTGGAGATCTGAGAATATATTTAATATAAGAAACCTGTCAATAGTTGGGACAGAGCTCACAAATGCTTTTGTGTCTGAGATGACAGCATGTATTATTAACCAACAAAAAGTCTTTTTCAAGTTGACTATGACCAAATTAAGGATCGAAGTGATATTTCACAGGTTGCCAAATTAATCCAAACAATTCAGAGGAGACAAGTTTGTGTTACAGGGTCTTTTATGGCCCAAGTTCCTTGAAAATGGAAGTGATTTTTCTATCAGGAAAACATTTCTGAACATGAAAAAGTTTACTGCTTTAAAAAGCCCTCTGGGTTAACTACAGCTAATTCATACTTAGAATGGTAAAATTATTTATATATTCAAAAATTTTTAAGAACTCTCTGCAGGGCCTAATTAGCATGCTTTTAAAAGTCTCTTTCCAAATTTAGATTCTGAAATTCACAATGATTAAGAATGACACTTCCTTTTTACCAAGAAAAAATAAATGAAGATTAATCAGGATATAGACAGACTAGTATTTTGTCCTCCCTTTAGGTTTTTTAAACAAAGATTTTAAGAAAATTTTATCTGACATTGATCCGAGATATTTTCAGTACTTTTCTTTAGGGATACATTAAGAATAAAAAATAGAGTAATTTTAACTAGGTCATGCCAGTTGTGCCTGTGTGGGCATAAGACAAATTGGGGCACATGTGATTATATTACTAATGTTAGAACTAGATTTCTTTTAGATCACCTAAATCATCTCCTGATTTAACACATGAGAAACACATGATTTATATTTACGTTTATCTTTTTAAATACTTCACACATAAATTTTCTCTACATTTTGATGAAAAGATCCCAATGTCATTTACTTCGCATTATCTGCACAAGTAATCTGTCTATAATCCGATTAATCATCTAAATTCATATGGTTTTATAAAGTAAGAATCCCATAGCTTCACCAACGAGAGTTAATATAACTTGAGGTTTATTCTAGAATGCTCTATATCCTGTAAGTTTAAAAAAAAAAAAAAACAATAGAAATTACAAGCTACATATTGCACTACCCCTAAGCACAGATTTCACTGCTGTACATGGAACTTTAATAAAAGGCTTTAAAAATGCTAATTGGATGAGAAAGCACTGAGTATACATGTAATTAAACTATGCAGGGAGCCACAGAATAATCAGACCCTAAACCTTATTTTACAGCCAAATCCCTATGTTTCCCTGAGCAATAGACAATCCCTTCCATCCCCAGATGACCCAAATTTACATTTACATTGATTGCATATGTGCCAGGCACCACATTAAGGACTTTATTTTATTTATTTTTTTAAAGAGGCATGTATTTTTATTTATTTGTTTGTTTGTTTGTTTTATACAAACACTGGGTACATTCCGAAGCACAGGAGGGTGAGAGAATTCACCAGAGCCAGAGCGGGGAGCAGAGCAGGCAGAAGGACCGAAGAACACTGCTGAGGGGAGCAGCGGGCGGCAGGAGAGGTCTGCGCGCCATGTGGGACCCTCCTCTGGTGGCCGGGGAGCAGCCAGGGATTGAACTGGTGCTGCAGAGGCCGCGGGCAGCTTCGCAACCCAGCGCTCAACCGCTGCGCCACCGGGGAGGCCCACATTAAGGACTTTAAACACAACCTTCCAATTAGTCCTCATGATGATTCTATGAGCAGGACCAGCTTCCCTCAGTAGTGACACAGGATCTGGGCTCAGAAGGACCCACACTTGGTTTGATGCTCTGCTGTCACCATCTTGAAATAGGAACTAAATATCCAGCATTTTCATTTCACTGAATTTTGAACAGGGAGCTCCACGAATTATCTAACCAGTCCTGTGCATGGGGTTAGAAGCACTACCACTCCTCTATTTTACAGACTTGGAAACTGAACCAAAGAGAAGTCAAATGACTTGCCCAGGGTCAAAAGGCTAGTTGCAGCTGGGGCACGGATTCACACACACCCTGCACACCTCTGCCCTGCGGGGAGCCGCTGGAGGGCATGGTGCTAGGAATCCAGCTAGCTCAGCAATTCCAAGTAAGGCTGATTACTAAGAGGACTGTTGATTTCACCCTTCCCTCCTTCACTCACAGCTTTTTATAGATGAAGAACAGCCATGGATAAAGGAAGAGAGATGTCACATTCACAAACAAGCCAAATTTGAAAAAAGAACTGCTTAGCTCAATGAAAGGTGAGAGGGTTTTAAATGGTCGTGGCAGGGGCTTAGCTATTTAAATGACAAGCTAAACAGGATACCTTTGGGGCTATTTCAAGCTCAGATCCCCAAATTAGAGCTTTTAGGACTGAGATGCAGAACCCTAAATGGAAGACAGAGAGGGGAGAATGGCGGAGCAGGGACACATCAAAGGAAGCTCTCTGGGCTGCCTTTTATAGACGTGACAACAGCCCAACCACCCTGTTGGCCAATGGCAAACATAAATAAAAGACTTGCATCAGCTGAAGATCAAATACTAAAGAAAAGAGTCGAGATTTCCTGAGGGCTTTGGGTCAAAGTTCGAGTAGTGGTGGAGAGAGGCACTTGGCCTCCTTTGTGTCCAAGCTTCCTCCTTGGCGTCTAAACCTTCTCCACCGCCACCTCCTTCCTAACCTAACTGGTTATGTCACTTTGACTAACATTGTTGCGCTCAAGAGGATGGACTGTGGCTATTCCCCACTAATCCATAGCCTGCTCCACCCTGTGTGGATGGAGAGCTGTTATTGTTATTTCTACTGCTAATATTATTATATTATTAAATTATTATATTATGTTATTTGCTATTTAGTTTTCATCTACATTTTGCTTTTTAACTTTTTTTGAAAAGTCAGGATTAAACTCTTGTGCTTTTTTCACTGCAAAAATAACTTCCAAATACATTTACTATATTTACATTGACTTACAGGTCAATAAAAAGGTCACACAAATTTGGACAAAAATGAGGTCACCAAATATCCAAAGACATACATCTCTTCCCTGTCTCCATGAAAGCTGCTGTTCCAAATCAAACATTCTCCTCACTGCCAAATACCCTTCATCATTGCAGACCAGAACCATATGAGCAATACAGAACAGCCCCGGTAATTAAAGGAGTCATCTTATATGAAATGAATTCTTTAAAAAATGCTTAAGATTCTTCAATAAAGGTGCATAATATTTTCTGATGGATTAAGGAAAGTCCATGGGATCCCAGTTCTTAGACAGTGATAACATTTTGATTGGTCAGTGAGGGCCTCTGTGCCCAATATGTAATCAACTAGTCAACAACAGTTTTTTAGGAGTTTGCCCAAACTGTCTGTTCAGACTACCAGGGATCAGGACCCCCAGAGTCATCCCTGTCCTCAAATCCATTCTTCATTTGTCTGATGTAGGACAACCCATCCCTCTAATATGGCCTGGATTTCCTTCCAGTGGCATCATTACTCTGGGTGCAATTGAAAGTCAGAAACACTGGCCTAAAAGAACAAAGGTGAAGATGTACCTGTGAGGCTGTTGCTGGCAGCTGGGAATCATGGAAGGATGGTGTCTGGCCTTAACCTCTAAGCACAGAAACCATCTGTAAGCACACAGCCTGCTATAAACATTAGCATCTCTTTACCATTCTTGGAAACTCATGATCAGGCCAATGAAGTTGCAAATACTTTCAGATCTTCACAAAAATTCATCCATCTACAATAAACTGCCCTCTAGTCCTTATTAGAATAAATGGCCCCTTCTTAGAATCATATATTCTTCAACTTTATTCATCAAACGATTGTGCTTCATGATTGGATTCACAAGTCTCATTATGTCTACCAATGCTGAACTTTTATGTAACAAATGTTACCCAACCCCAACGACTCCCACCACATTAAAAGGTTTGCCTTAAGTCAGGCCTCCTAAATATCCCACCTTTGCACTCTCCAGTCTCTCAAGTTCTTTAGGAGTCAGCAATCCATACCCTCTACCCTTCTCCACCACCACCACCAATCCACGTCTCCCTGATCAGATAAATGCCAAGTAATAAATAAATGAATACAAACAAGACCTTGGGCTCTACAGAGTTGTAGAGAAGACTGGGGATGGATTTTCTTCTCTATGGATTGGGAGAAGATTTGGAGATCAGAGCTAGTGAACCCAGCTCAGTCTGCAGGGATCTATGGAACCTGAAGACACACACATCATTATGATACCAACTCTGTGTGTCGGAGGAAAGTGCGCTATCTGAGTTGGATGATTTGTAAATCAAAAATAGATCTCCGGAGGCCTCCCTGTTGGCACAAAGGGTTAAGATACAGCACTATGAAGCTATCTGCAGCCACTGCAGCACAAGTTCGATCCCCGGACAGGGAGGTGACCTATATGGCACAGCAGACCTCTCCTGTCTCGCCCACTGCTCCCCTCAGCAGTATATTTCAGTAGATCTGCCTGTTCTGCTCCCCATTCTGTCTCTGGTGAATCCTCTCACCCCCCCCCCTTCCAACACGCACACCTCTGGCCTGTACCCCAGTTCTTGTATGCATAAATAAATACATCTTTATAAAAATGGATTGCCATAGAGAGTAATGTTCATGGAACCTCCAGTCAAAGTCCATTCCTATAACTAAACTATGGTCAGAGAGAACAACTTATTGGTAAGATAGGCTTTTGCCAAAAGTCTCTCACATATTAAAGGCTTCACACCTGCTGGTCAAGATTTTTTTTTTAATTTAATTTTTAAGCTCTAATTTCAAAAGAAAATAGATTTAATCTATTTTTCTATGACTCATCAAAATTAATTACTAGAGGAATTGGCAATAATGACATTAAATTGGTAATTATGGCATTAAATGTGTGTACAATAAGCATCATTTAATGTGCACTGTCCAGTGCACATGATGGGATAGCATCTTCCTTAGAACGTCCTTGCTACTCATCCAGGTCCCTCCCTCCTACCCCCAAGTTCATACCTACCAGCTTTTACTAGAACAGGACTCAGCAAAGGAAGGAATTAGCATCCTCACCCAGTTCTGGATGGTTTCCACAATTTGGAGACAAAATGATGGCTTAGTCTTCTCTGATAGACCCAGGGAGGTTAAGAATGTCAGCCTAGTTGGAAGGTACAAAATAGCAACATAGGAGTAAAATTCTACATTGAAGAAAAGAACTTCATAAATTCTTTCAAGCAACTATTCTAGAATCAGAAAATGGTTTGGGACATGCCTAAATTGAATTCGGATACAAGTTGGATATTTCTGCTTGTTTCATTTTGACTAATTTTCACACCATATGAGTTGACTGAACACTGCAAAATGATTTCTGACTCCTTTATTTGACCTAAACATTCTGTGGTTTGCTCTACTGAGGCACTTAAATGAATTAACATAGCAACTGACACCTGTGTTTTATTTTACAATTTGCAAAACATCTCAGACTTTCTCTCCTTATGCTAATTTGACAAATAGAGATACTGAGGGGTTGCTTGCCCAAGCATAACCAGGAGATGAATGGTCAACTGCAATTCAAATTCAGGCCTTCTAACATTACAGTTTGTATTAGTGTAAGTACCTGGAAATGTGTATTTTTTTATACCAATAGGTATCAAGAGGCTAAAAACAGGTGTTCTAGCTTCAGTTGCTATAAGAAAACATCAGACAGGGAGGCTTATACAATAAAAATTAATTTCTCAGAGTTCTGGAGGTCCATGAGCACAGGACTGAGAAAGAGAGAACTCTCTATATCTCTTCTTAATAAGTACACTAATTTAATCAGATCAGGGCCTCACCCTTATTTTTTTCCTTACTTCTATAAAGACCCTCTCTCCAAATATAGTCACATTGTGTACTAGTGCTTCAATATATAAAGTCTGAGGGACATGAGCATTCACTACATTAACAGCATACATAATCTTTGAACCAGCAATTTCACAACTAGAAAATTACCTTAGGAAAATAGTTAAACTCATTTACCAAAATATATGTACACAGAAGTTGCATACAATGTTGTTTGGCAAAGATACATTTCTGAACTTCGGTTTACTCAGATACAAAAAGGGAGATAATAGCAATACATACAGCAAAGAGCTGTACCATAAAGACCTAGAACAGGAGCTGGAAAACAGTAGTTTCCATACAGGTTAAGATATTTTCATTAGTTCTTACTATAGCACTCAATAAAACTGGCCTAACCAGTGGACATTTATCTCCTCAAATAACAAGTAGTCCAGAGGCAGGAAAGTCTTCCTCAGTAAAGTCAGGTCTTATGTTAGCTTTCCAGTAGTTTTCAAAACTTTACATCCTCATGGTGTGTCAAGATGGCTGCTACACACTATATACAATAGTCAAGATATGGTAACAACCTAAATGCCCCAAAAGAGATGAGTGTATCAAGAAGATGTGGTATTTATACCACAATGAAATACTACTCAGCGATGAAAAAGGATAAACTCATGCCATTTGCAGCAACATGGATGGAGCTGAAAGGGATTATGCTCAGTGAAGTAATTCAGAAGGAAAAATAAATATTGGATGATTTTACCTACAGGTGGAATATAGAAAAATCAAACAAAGCATCAGGAAGAATACAAAACTTGCAAGCTGACCATGGATCTGAGGCATATAGTAGAGGAGGGGGGCGGGGTGTCAAAACAGGGGAGGAATGAGCACAAAGGACTGTGGTGATATATCACAGGTGCTATGGTAGTGGGAGAACAAGGATTATACCTGAGGGGAGAAATCAAATAAATAATGTCCTAATTTTAACAAAATAAGAAAATATTTTTAAAAATTAAAAATAAAGAATAAAAGGAAACTTTATGCGCACACAAAAATGACAATAAGAAGGAGCGGTGGAGTGTGAGAGAGACTTGTATAGGCCTTCCCTTCTCCCATTTAGTTGGTTTCTTTCATAAATTTTTACAGCTCAATCCCAGAGACTGGTGAATGGAATGAGTCAACAGATAAAAGAGAGAGGGAGGCTCAAGGACCCCAGCTGTAAGAACAGGCCATATAGCAGTCAAGAATTGCCTAGAACCTACTTTTTCAGAGCTACCTTCAGCAGTATTTTAAGAAGAATTTCTTCCTGTCCTACTCTAAAACAGAATCAATCCCCTTTCATGTAGTCCTCTCCAGGCAATGTCAGTCTGGGGCCATATGTGTTCCAGCTAAGGGGCAACTCTGAAAAGTCCTCGCCTTCAGTCCTGGACAATGAGGATAGATTATTAAAGTGCTCTTGAATGTCACCATTGCCTTTTCCCACTGGTCCTTCCATACCAGGCTTCTAGAATAAGATCTATGAAAAGAATGTCCCTCTAAGGAACTTTCTAGAGACCTTGCTCAAGTATACCATGTGATTTCATGCTCCTCTGTCTCTATATATGAGGTTTATTCCCAAAGCCTGGAATCTCCTGTCCCCACCCCACTTCTCCAAGTAAAGAATTATGTGCTTCTTCCACAAGGATCCCATAAAATTTGAGTGTCCTTTAGCTCATGAGTCACATGTCGGTAAGATTATTATTTTATAGCTATTACTCAGCAATAAAGCAGGAAGCTCCTCTTCCAGGCCAAAGACACTTTCCTTATCATTTTGGTTTTCTTCTTAGAACCCAAGAAGCTCATTGGAATGAATGAAGACAAGAATGAAGCCCATGGACGCTGGTAGCTTTGTTAGTGGGAGCATTAGGATAACAATACTGGAGAGCTGGGGGAATCCTATACTTCCAAAATACAAACCAACATTACCTCAATAAAAAAAAATTAGATGAAAAAAATTTAGATTGAAAAAATAATGACGGGCAGTATCTGACCTGTTGAAGGTTAGTAACCAGCTTTCTACGGGAGAGGGGAGACAGAGGGCCAGCTCTACTTCCAGGGTGGGGTTCTATAGACAGACAGCAAAAGATAAGGGCTGGCCCCAAGGCTAATTCATATCGGGGACCCACCACAAAGCCGGGCTAAAGACCTGGGTGGAAATCAAGTAGCTGCTAATACAATACCTCCTTCCCTTCTCTCCTCAGGGACCATGTGCTGAGAGAGAAATCCACACAGGAGAAAACCCTCTCAGTGGCTCTCCAGCCCTCTGTGCCTGGCCCTTCAAGGGGACCCAGAGTTTGACAGAGAAGAGCTGGTTATTCACAAGTAACTATGGAAAGGAACCAGTGGGAGAGCACAGGAGAAGACTGTACGCCCAGAAGACCAGCGAGTCCCTAAGGCATGAAAAGACTGCAGGAAGGCGGACGCTAAGAAGAGGCTGGTGCAGAAAGCATGTCTCCACCTCGGCTGATGGATGAGCTGGAGCACATGCTGTGGTTCATAGCAGTCGTACTTTTGGGGTGATGCTTCCTGAAGTGCCGTAATTAGAGACGACCCCACACACATTCTGTCATCTAGGCAGGCCAACAAATATGCAGCCCTTTCCTGTGTGTGATTCCAAACACTCCCGCTCAGGGCAGCGTCAGGTTTCTACTCGGACTTTTCTAATCCAAACAGCTTTCCCTCTGAGCAAAGGAGGTTTTCCAATTCACGGTCTGTGGATCAGCAAAACAACAGTAAGGTTTGCTCATGCAGAGCCTGGCTCACGGCTGAGACACCTGTGCACCTGGAAATGAAATGACTCCTTGCCCTGCTCCTCCAGCAAAGGACTGGCTCAAGAAGATGGAGGGAAGGGAACACGTTTGTAAATGTGCAATGGAACTTTTCTGCTGGGAAGGCAACAGTTTGTGAACCACAGCTTCTGCTGAGCAGAGATCTGGAAAATATTTCTGAAAGGAGAACTGGAGAACCTCATGGGGAAAACACGTCGGTGCTTTTCAAAGGATCATCCGAGGCAGTGCTGATGCTGCTGGTTCAAGGACCACACTTTGAGCAGCAAGGCCTCAGAGGACTCAAGGCTTGAGCTGGCTTGCAGAAAAATGCATGAAGTATAAATATCAACACAATCAGGGCAGGAGTTTGTGTTGATGGAAGCTCTCAACACAAATTAAAACTACATGGGTGGGAGATTTGGGTGAGAATAGGATAGTCCTTTTGGAGTAACTTGCTACAGAGCAATAAGTATCTAACACAGAGAAATCAGGCAAAGGTTCCCAAGAGAGATATTCAGAAATATCCTCTTTCCCTTGTTTTTGTCATATGATTCTTATGACTTAAAGTCAGTCACCAAGAAAGCAAATAAGCAACATCCTATACTAGAGAAATAAGAGATTTGTTCTGTATCAAAAGCCAACACAAGAAATGAAGTAAATGCGAAATGCAAAGCTTTCAATTCTGGGCTATAGATGGGAGGGGACCCCAGAAATATAACTTGGATCTCACCTCACCAGGCTCCCTCCCCACTTCCCAGACCGCTCACTGGTCGGAGTGGGGAAAGGTGCAGATGCCACCATGAACTAATGGACATGCCACAGCAATCAAGTGTGTCCTTTGGAATCATTTTCCTCCAAGGTCTCTAAGTTGTTCTGAGTGTTCTTAGAGACACTAGGAATGCAGGGCAGCCCAAACCACATCCTGGCTCTCTCCCTATGGAGATTGGTACTAATGGGGAGAAGAGGCAACAATGGAGCTTGAGGAGCAATTCAAGGTAGAGGTCATTTGAGGCTCTGCTACAATCCCCTACAGTGCACCAAACTCCACTGATAAATTCCCCATGTGTCTTGACGAACGAATGTGTTTTTGAAAGGAACTGAATGTCCTTTGCTTCCAGAGCCACTTTGTTCAAGTAGATAGTTGTATAATTCAGATGATAGTAGCTACAAGTAACCAAAACCCTAACTCAAAGACCTAAAATAATAAGAAAAATACACTATCTCAGGGACTAGGGAGAGCTAAGGTAGACCAGCTTTTTGGTTCATTAACTCAGTGGCTACATGAAAAGGAGGAGGCAATTTTTATCCATTTCCCACACAGAGAGACACCTCTGTGGAAATCCACATAGGGTGATGTATGTGCCAGTGGGGACCCTGGGATGCTAATTGCAGGATTTGCCCCCAATTGTAATCTGTTGAGATGTGTTTGGATCCTGACTAACATTCAGCACATTCTCATTTTCTCTGTCAGTGGGTCGCACTCATCCAGAGAGTATACATGACAATCCTTTGGTGTTCAGGTAAAAAGTATTA